TAAATATTTACAGAGCCTTGTTCACTTGAGCTATTTAAAGCAATTTTCCTGAGACATCAATCTGTTTAAAGGGAGAGCATGAAATGCACATTTCCCTTGTCTTTCTGCCTTTTCCAGTGGGACTTCCAGATCCAGGTACCTGCTTTCCTGCTGCCTCCTCCCTTGTGTTTCCCATGCTTGTGCAGGTGCAGTTCAGGAGCTTGGCAGAGTGGAGGTACCCCTGTCTCCAAGCCATGAATTCCCAAGGGGAAAGGGAATGACAGAAAGCTGTCATTTCTCTTGGAGGGGTTTTACTTTTCCTGCTCACATCAGGTGTCATCTTTTGGGTGAAAGCTTGAACTAAGCTCAGGTTGGGTTTGGGGTTTCCAGGTGATATCAATGCAAAGTGTGTTGTGCACTGGATGAGTAATCTGGAAGAGGTCAGAGTTTCCCATAACACATCCTGTGTGTTCCCATGGGAAAATGACTTTGCTTTCTTAGGTTTTCCTTAGACCAGTTGGCAATAGAAGGAAAGGTTTGGAATTCCCTGGAGCCTTGCCCGGGAGCGTGAAACCCGGCTCTGCAGAGGAGAATTGGGTGTCTGACATCAGACTTGGTGACAGCAGATCCCTTTGCACAGTGCCCTGTGCCAGGTCTGCTCCAGGAATGGGGCTGGGATGGCGTCAGCAGGAGTCTAAAGCAGGGCTGGAAAATTAGCAGAGGAGTCGACCCAAGTGCTAAATCTGAGAGAACAGCCCAGACTTGTTCCCCAAGCCTCATTCACTGTGTTGCATCATGCTCGATATTGGTCCAGGAGGAGATCAGTTGATATAAAATAAGCTTTAAACAAGAGTGGTTTCTTTGCCCCGGTGCCGCTCCCCGAGGGCCGGGCAGGGCTGGTTCGTCACCGCGTGGGGTTTGTGGGGTTTGAGCAGCACGGCCCTGCTGAGGGATCAGGGCTGGAACTGGAATGTCTGTGCCTGGCTGCAAGAAGAGGGGATGCTCAGCTGGGGGAAACCTGTCAACACCACAGTGTCAGAAAGATATAAGCTCTTAGGGAGTGTCCAAAGGAGGGCAAGCCTTGATTGAAGCCGTGTGAGGACACTGAGGGCACTTGGTGTGTTCAGCTGGAGCAGAGGAGACTGAGGGGAGACCTCGCTGCAGTTCCAACTGCCTGGGCAGGGGCAGAGGAGGGGCAGGGACTGAACTCTGCTCTGGGGGGACCAGGGACAGCAGCCAGGGAATGGCTGGAGCTGTGTCAGGGCAGGATCAGGTTGGATCTCAGGAAAAGGTTCTTCCCCCAGAGGGTGGTTGGGCACTGACCAGGCTGCCCAGGGCAGTGGGCACAGCCCCAAGGCTGCCAGAGCTCCAGGAGCGTTTGGATGATCCTCTGGGGCACAGGGTGTGACTGCTGGGGATGGGCCTGTGCAGGGCTGAGGGTTGGACTCGATGACCCTTGTGGGTCCCTTCCAACTCAGCACATTCTCTGATTCTCTGAACTACAAAAAGGAAACTTTAAAACCTGCCCTTGTTGTGTCTGAGCTGCCTGAAGTGCAGAGGCAGAGCAGCAGCCCTGGCGTGGCCATGGCCATGCACTGTCTCCCTGCCCTCAGCCTCTGCACAGAGGTGGCATCTAGTGGCTGCTGTGGCCCTCTGTCCCCATGTCCCTGGGATGAGGGAGGAGCCAAGGCTGAGTTTGAGCTGTAGGCTGGGCCTAGGAAAGTGAGCTGGGCTGCTGTCTTAGTTTAACAAGATTACAACTTAGAAATAAGGAGACTTCAGGTGGAAGTGTAGAAAGGGAAAAAGAAACAGCTTTTTATTAACAAAATCTGAATAAACAACAAATGGTGCAATTAAAAACTTTCAGAAGAAAACAAAGCAAAGTCCCAAATCCCCAGGTGTGGGAGGAGAAACCCATGGCAGCCCGGGGAGGGTATGGGGGGAATGGAGGGGAGGCAACGTTGGGAAAAAATTCCAACATCTACATTATGTAGATTTTGTGGCACCAGTGAGCCAGGGTCATCCTGCACAGCTGTGGGAAAGCTGTGCTTGTGAGCTGTGTCCTACCTGGGATGCTAACCAGCTGGGAAAAATAACACCAAAAGGGAGTCCCTTTGAGCTGTCCTGATGCTCTTGAGTGTTTCTGGAAGAGGAAGGCTGAAATCTTCTCCAAAACATCAGTTGTACAGATTTTGCTCCTTATCAATGAGCTTGTGGGCAGAGTTTGCTCCAAAACCTTTTGTAAATGCAGTCCCTAGTGCCAGTTTCAGTGTGTGCAAGTTAAAAAGTGCAGCACTTTCCTGCACCCCATTGACCACATACTGCTCTGCCTTAACTCAGGTGTGTGTGACCATCTCAGAGCAGTGTCCCAGCAGTACCACGGGGGTGATCCTCAGAAAGGCCTCCCCCCTCCACCTCCTGTGCTCCGATGCCAAGGAGAGAAGTTCTGCCCAAACACACAGACTCTCCTGAGCCAGGCAACAAAACCACTTGGCTGGAATTCCAGCTGCCTGGAATTGGGAAGGGATGGGTTTGGTACTTTTTTTTTCACTGAGCTTTTGCACTTGGCATGAAGTGTGGGGGGCAGCAGGTACCTGGAGACCCTTCTAGAACCATCCATTGTGGGGATTTCTGGGAATTCCCATGGGAGCTCTGGGCTGCCAATCCTGCCTGTCCCCTGGGAAGGGAGATCTGCAGGGACAAGGACAACCTCGTGCTTCCTCCCGCCATCTCACACACCTTCTCTGTGTGTGACATCACTGCAAAGGACATGAAGGGCTTTTGCTTTGTCTGTTTGTTTTTCCCTGAGCATATTGAGGAAAGAAACTTCCCCCAGGAAGTTTTCCAGTGCATTTTCTACTGGTTTTCTGCTTTGGTTGTGGCTGTATTATTGATATTTTATATATATATATATATATATACATGAAACAACCAAAGACTGGTGTCACTCTGATTTAAAGTATCTGGTGTAGTTTCAGATGAACACAGAGTGTTTAAAGCATTTCTCTGGTGACTGAGTCATGAATATTTGGGACAGGGAACCCATGTTCCCCATGTTGGGGATGTAGGATGGGCAGTTTGAGGGTGTGGAGCCTAATGAAGACATTTGTGTGTTTGACATTTACATTAATGAGCTTTCTTCTCTTCCCAGTCAAGCTGAGTCTCTCTTAAGGGCTCATAATCAAATGATTTGTTTCACCTCAGCAGTGGCATTTTTGGAAATGTGGTTTCTGTGCCCTGAAAACTGCCTCTGTTCCCCCTCCTTGGTGCTTTCCTGCAGCTGCTCCATCTGTGTGCCTGCACTGCTGAGCGAGGGCTCCCTGCCTGCAAGGAGCTCCTGTGCCTGAGGAGGAGGTTCTGCGTGGGGCAGAGTCTCTGAAACAGCACACTGGGCTTAATTAGCCCCTTCCCAACAGCCCATCAGAGCCTGGGTCAGGAACTGGCAGGAGAAGATGTCTGGATACTCCCTTCTTGCTGGGGAAAGATGTCTGAATACTCCCTCCTTGCTCCCGTTGCTCCTCACCATCCCTGGGGATGAGGGAGATTTATACCCGCCTGAAAATAAATACGGATCAGTCACTTGTTTCTGGAGGAAGATAAAATGTAAACTCTCTGTTTTCTGTGATAAAGCTCTGGAAATAGTTGGGATTTAAGATAATTATCTTTATTGCTTTTTATAGCACCCTATGAAGGCTGAAATCTAATTTGTTTTTCACTAACAGGGAACTCCTGCAGATGACTCAGAAAAATCCATTTGCTTTATTGACAAACTTGTCTGTTTGGTTGTCAGGGCAGTGTTCTCCTTGCAGGGAAAGGGAAATACAGGTCGGATTTTAATACAGATTCAAAGTCTGATATCTGTTGGCAACAGGAAAAAATAAAGTTGATCTAATCAGAGTGAAGCGACTCTGCTTTATTAAAGAGGGCTGTAAATTAGTTGATGCTTCAGTGGGTGTGCAGTGGTGGTGCTTCGTGCTTTTGTTTAAGCAACTTCACTTGAAGCTTATTAACTAGAGCCTGCAGAGAAGCCGCTTTTCCTGGGCACCTGGATTTCGGGAAGGAGGTGGGAGGTGCAGCTGTGGCTCTACCCCTGTGCCTGGGGCTGTGGGGAGGGTTGAGTTTTGCATCATTTGAACCTGTTGCTTGCAAGTAGAGTTGCCCGTTTTGAACTTCTCGGTCTGACTGTGAGGCAGGCTCCCCCTGTTAACAAACTCCTTGTGTGGCTGAAGATGTTGGACACCCCCTGTGTGAATGAGTTGTGTGCCAGCACAGCTGGGTGTTGTGGTTTAGGGGGGGTTTCTAGTGCTGTGTGTGAAAAGTAGATGATGTCTGTGCTGCCTTCTCAGCCCTTCATAAGGGGGAGTGTGTCCTGCCTTGCCTCTGGGATCCACACCCCAGGGCTGCTCAGAAGAAGAAACAGCATTCCCTGGGCAGGTTTTCTATATCAGCCACCTCTCAAAATGTCCTGTGACTGCAGGCAGGGATGTTTGAGATGCTGGGACTGCAGGCTCCTGTAATGGAGGTGCTTATAAAATGAGTTTGTGTCTCACTCTCCAAAAGTCTAAATTATCACTGTCACATGGGATAATGCTGCAAACCACTGAATCTCACATAGTCACAGAATGATTTAGGTTGGAAGGGACCTTAAAGCCCATCTCATTCCACCCCCTACCATGGGCAGAGACACCTTCCAATAGACCAGGTTGCTCTAAGCCCCATCCAACCTCTCCTGACAGGTTTTATCCAACAATGCACAAACTGTAAGAAGCATTGGGATTAACTGCATTTTCAGGGAGGAGGGATAGAGCTCCACCAGAGCAGTCTTTGCCTTGAAGCAGAAGCCTATTTCTATCAAGTCTCTACTGTCCTCCACAAAAAGGCAGCAGAGCAGGGGGGAGAGAAAAAGGGATGTTTCCCTTTCAGTAAACATGAGGTGACAGATCCGGGTGGGCAGAGCAGGGTTCCTGTGTCTCTGAAGACCTTCCCAGTGTTTGCTCAGCTTTTCCTTGCTTTTCTTTCAGGAATTGACTACAAGACCACTACTATCCTGTTGGATGGCAGAAGGGTCAAGCTGGAACTCTGGTGAGTGTTTGTGAGTGTGATGCAGGCCAGGAGAGCAGGGGCAGGGGGCTCTGGGAGTGCTGGGGGGCTGCTGGACCCGAGAGCACAGAGCATCCCTGGCCATGGTCAGGCTCCTGCCTGTTCTTCCCAGTGAGTTCCTGTGGCAAACCAGATACCGTTCTGTCAGTGGAGTAGCACAAACACCGTGCTGCTCTGTGCTGGAATAGTCTGATTTCTGTCTTTCTCCATCATGCCTGACCATTTCTGCCACTGCTCTGCACTTGTGAGACCCCCCTGCATGTCTGGGTCTGGGGTCCTCAGCACAAGAAAGACATGGACATGAACAGGTCCAGAGGAGGTCACAGAGATGCTCTGAGGGCTGAAGCCCCTCTGCTCTGGGGCCAGGCTGGGAGAGCTGGGGTTGTTCACCTGAAGAAGATGATCTATCTCAGTGGTCTTTTCCAATCCATCTGATTCTATGATTCTGTGATTCTCAAGTCCAACCCTTGATCCAACCCCGCCGTGGTTCCCAGCCCATGGCACTGATGCCACATCCAGTCTCACCTTAAACACCTCCAGGGACGGTGAATCCACCACTTCCCTGGGCAGCCCATTCCAATGGCTGAGCACCCTCTCTGGAAAGCATTTCTTCCTGATATCCAACCTAAACCTCCCCTGGCACAGCTCAAGACCCAGCCCTCTTGTCCTACTGCTGGTTCCTGGGAGAAGAGCCCGACCCCCCCCGGCTCCCCCCTCCTGTCAGGGAGTTGGAGAGAGTGAGGAGGTCTCCCCTGAACCTCCTCTTCTCCAGGCTGAACAGCCCCAGCTCCCTCAGCCTCTCCTCACAGCACTTGTGCTCCAGTCCCTTCCCCAGCCTCGTTGCCCTTCTCTGGACCTGCTCCAGCCCCTCAATGTCCTTCCTGAGCTGAGGGGCCCAGAACTGGACACAGCACTCCAGGGGTGGCCTCACCAGTGCTGAGTCCAGGGGCAGAATCATTTCCCTGCTCCTGCTGCCACACTGTTCCTGATCCAGGCCAGGATCCGTTGGCCTTCTTGCCCACCTGGGCACACTCTGGCTCATGTCCAGGGAGACCTGAGAGCCCCTTCCAGAGCCTAAAGGGGATCCAGGAGAGCTGGAGAAGGACTTGGGACAAGGGCCTGGAGGGACAGGACAAGAGGGAATGCCTTCCCACTGCCAGAGGGCAGGGTTAGATGGGATATTGGGAAGGAATTGTTGGCTGTGAGGGTGGGGAGGCCCTGGCACAGGTTGCCCAGAGAGTCTGTGGCTGCCCCATCCCTGGAAGTGTCCAAGGCCAGGTTGGATGGGGCTTGGAGCAACCTGGGCTAGTGGAAGGTGTCCCTGCCCATGGCAGGGGGGTGGAATGAGATGGTCTTTAAGGAGCTTCCAACCCAAACCATTGTATGCTTCTATGTTCCTGTACAGCTGTTGATCATTGAGGGAACAGTACTATTTTAGAAGCAATACTGGATTTTCCTGAAATCCAAGGGTGAGAAATACAGACAGAATAGGAAAGGAGAAGACAAAATAGGTGAAGCCCTTAGTCCCTCAGGAGCTGGATATTTCTCAATGACTAGAGGAGAAAATTAAATTAAAACAAGAGCAGTTAATAGACCTCAGAGTGTCAGAATCTGGTAAACCCCTGGAGAACAGGACTGACTGGAGTGACTGGACACTGGGATGGAGATGGGAGAACATTCTATGGGAGAGGTAACTCCTGCCTTGTCTGCCAGCACTGCAGGGAGAGCTGGAGTCCTGGCTGAGCTGTGTCTGAGGTTTAACCTGCTGAGGAGCTGACACAGCAATCCTGGAGATGAGAGAGGAGGGATAGGATAGGATAGGATAGCATTAGGGTGAGATAGGATGGGGAAGGATAGAATAGCTTTAGGATGGGATGGGATAGGATAGGGTAGGATGGTGTTTGGGTAGGATAGCTTTAGGATGGGATGGGATAGGATGGGATAGGATAGATAATCTGCCCATGTTCTGGGTTTTACATGGATCTTGTGGGGAATGACACAGGCCCTAAAACATGGAGTTAAATAGCCCCTTACCAGCTATTGAGTCAAGTAACAGGAATATTAGTAACCTGTGTGAATTGTTAACTAGGAATGAACTCCATGTTCTCAGCCTCAGTGAGTGACTCTGGCAGCATGGAGTTCGGTGGTTTAATTATACCCTACTCTCTGAAGCTGAATGTCCTCATTTTTCTTACAAAAAAGAACAAAAGCAGCTCATTTGTCTCTTCTAGCCTGTGTGTTTATATGTGCCACTTGCATTCTTGCCTCTCTCTTATAAGATGCCTGTTGGAACATTTCAGCCCCAAGTGTGTAGTAACTTACTGCTTCCCTCTTGAAACCATCTTCTTTTTATGCTGCAATTCTTGAGCTGGAGAGCAGCACAGGAGCTGAAAAGCTGATAACAATGGTTTATGATGCCTTAGTGTAATCTTTCACCATTACTTACCCACTGTTTGATTGTCAGGGGAGAAGGAGATGTAAGCACAGGCTGTTAGATTGATGTCCAGGGCCTATAATATGATCCCTGGAAGCTTTAAGCTTTAGATCTGAAGGAGTGACTGGCCTGAACTTGAGGTCAGTGCCTTTCTCATGGAGCTGATGCAAATCTGGGGCTGAGGGGGCAAATCATCAGTCTTTTCAGTGGTCATTAATGTCTTTTATTCTGGCCCAGGGAATAGATTTGGCAAACATGATAATGTATCTCTGATTACCCTGGTGCATCTAAGTCTGTACTGGTTAAATTGGTGTACTGGGCTCTGGCTTTTTGTCCCAGATGTTCCCACAGGCACTGGAGTGCTGGTAATGCTGTCAAACTTAGTTATACCCTGCTAAGACAGTCAGTAAAAATGATAGTGACTGAAGAGCCCCTTATTGTCCCAGTGGGATAGAAACACTGTTCCCTAGTCCTGTTCATTAGCTCTCCATAGGGTGGGATCAACCAGGTCTGGCAGGAATCTGGGTATAAGAGAATTCCCTTTATTTTCAATTTTTAAAACTTGTGTGAAAAAATAAGTGAAGCCAGACAGTGTAAGACAGTTTCTCCTCCCTGGAGTGGTTACATTCATCTTATGGTAGGTCAGATGTTCTCCATGCCAGGGAGAGCTCTGCAGACTCACTCTGACTCTGAACTCCCGTGGGCTGCAGGGAACAAGACAGAAAATCCTTTGCCCAGGGAAATAAAATGACTTGCACCCTCATACATCATCAGACAGTGCTGAAGCCAAGTGGTTTGGGTTTGTACCTTCTCCATGGGAAGCACAATGACAGTGGCAACCTCTTGAGTGTCTGACTGTGTCCAAAGGTGGTGTTGTACCCACTGATTCTTCCCAAAAAACCCACCATGTGGAGCACTTTGGGTACCGTGTGTGTTCTAAAGATCTGACAAGATCAACACTGATTTTATTCTGGTTTTTTGGGTCCAGCAGGAGATGTGCAGTATGGGAGTCAATTCTCCACATTTCACAGCTGTAACTTTTCTGTTTCAGGGACACTTCAGGGCAAGGGAGATTTTGCACCATTTTCAGATCCTACTCCAGAGGAGCCCAGGTAAGTGCCGCTCTCAGGGCTTTGAAGAGGTGCATTTGCTTTTCCTTTAGGCTGTAGGAATCTTTTCTACTGTAGTAAAGAGCTCTGAAGAGGAAGGCATTGATCAGCAAAAGGATCTATGGAGATGCCAAGAAACATCTTGTTGCCTGGGATTCTGTTCTTATGAAATGGTGGGAGAAAGGGGAGGGAATGACAGACTTTGCTAAACTCCTACAGAAAAGGTCTGTACAGGCTGTGTTCAGTATTAATTTCTAGAGGTGGGGTTAGAGAGGACGAGGCAATTCTTGCTCTAGATGTGCCTTAAGCTTTGATGTGGGAGCTCCTACTTTCTGAGGTTTCCCAAATTTGTTTAAATATGACACTGGCTTTCCCAGTGGAGCTCTTCCAGGCTATGTTGCCTTCGAGTCAGTTCCAAAAATAGGGGTGGCTCCTACTTGTGTGTCTGAGGCAAACTTGGAACTAGAGCAGCTCAGTTGGATCGTAAAGTGTGTGTGTTCCTTAAAACTTGAGGCAGAGCATTACAGTTTGAGTTTCTCCTCTGGGGCCTGCTCCAGAATAGCATCAAGATCCTCAACAGCACAAAAATCCTTGTGGTCCTCTGGAAAATTGCTTTTAGTGTTTTCTCACGGTTCTGTTGTTGTCCTTGTAATAACATGACAGAGGCTCTCCAAGATAAAGTCTCCCTGCGTTTAACGAGCTACTGTATTTACCTTATTGTTTCCAAATTGGAAAACTTTGGAGAAAATTCCTCCTCTCTTAGACACTTGGAGTCAGAAGCCGCCTATCAGCCTCCTGACTGTGCTGGTATCCTGGCAGATTCCCAGCCTTTGGGAAACTTTGCCACTTTCATTTAAGCTCTTGCCACTCTTGGCTTTTTGCTCCTTGTAGCACCTTTGCTTTTGAAACTGGGAAAATCCATCTTGCTCTCTTTCCCTAAGACTTCCTGCAAATTCCCTTATGCTGTAGACATGGGAACACCTCACCTGGGATGTGAGGTTGAGATCTCCTCTGGTGTCCTGTTCATTCATGTTTGTGCACATCTCTGGTGGTCTGGATGCTTTGAGGCAGCTCCTTTGAAGCAGAGGCCAATTTCCTGGTGCTTGCAGAAGTGTTGGGCAAGGAGTGTTGGAATTCTGCAGTGGGAGAGCCCAGGATCTCCCATTCACATGCTCAGTCCCGTGTCTGAGTTTAACTTTAAGCTTTCCTCTACCCTTACACATTTCAGAAAAGTCTGGAGCTCCAATCACAGAATCACAGAACAGTTTGGGTTGGAAGGGACTATAAAGCTCATCCCATTCCACCCCCTGCCATGGGCAGGGACACCTTCCACTAGCCCAGGTTCCTCTAAGCCCCGTCAAACCTGGCCTTGGACACTTCTAGGGATGGGGAGTCCACAACCTCCTAATGGAACCTGTGGGCTCGAGGCCACATCACTTCCCTCAGCAGTTATAAATGGCCAGAGCCTGGTCAGTGTGGTTTGCTGGTGACCACGAAGCTTAGCTTTGGTCAGGCTTTTTTCTGAGACCTCGCTGTGTCAGATTCCCAGAACAAACTGGGAATAGAAAGCAGCAACTAATATGTCCAGAAATACAATTTGAGAGCTTTTACCCCTGTCTGCAGCCACTGTGCAGAATCTTCCCTCAGTGTAGCCTGTGAGCTCCTCAGAGCAAGTGCTGTGTCTCCACAGGGCTGCACCCACACACCAGAACTTGTACCTGCTGCTGCCACCGAGGGAACTGGGGCAGAGGGGGGAGGTGAAATAAGGAGTGATGAGAAATTGGATGGAGAGACAGGTCTAGAACCGGCCTGGAGCTGTGAGGTACTGGCACAGCACATCCATGGGGTTCCTGCAGCCTGGATACGACATTTGGGTGCCATAAGGTATCTGGCCAGGCAGGGGGACCTTCAGTGTGAATGCTTCATCAAATCATGGAATCCTTAGAGTTGGAAAAGCCCTCGGAGATCATCGAGTCCACCTATTAACCCAGCCAAGTGACTGCCAAGGCCATCACTAAACCATGTCTCTGAGCACCACATTCTGCAGGGGGTTTGTGAACACTTCCAGGGATGGTGATTCCACCACTGCCCTGGGCAGCCTGTGACCACCAGTGGTCTGACCAGCCTTTCAAGGAAGAAATTTCCCCAGTATCCAACCTAAACTTCCCCTGGCACAACTTGAGGCTGTTTCCTCTTGCCCTTGTTACCTTGGAGAAGAGACCAACCCCCAGCTGGCTCCCACCTCCCTTCAGGCAGCAAACCAGCCCTAAGGAGTGAGTCTGCCCAGGAGGAGGAGTTCCCAAGGGAAGTGAAACACAGTGGAAAGCCTCTTGAAGACTAGTGACTGCAGTCCTTGTACTGTCTGCTCCAGGCAGCTTGGAGGAAAACTCATTGTTTTCAGCATGAAGTGGTTGGCTCCCATGTGGTGATAGTGATATTCCTGTATTAACAGGAATACAGGTACTGTCTCTCTTAAATAACTCCCCACATCTTTCAGTGGAAGGGGAAAGCATCTAAATTTATACTCTGAATGGTTAACCAAAGCAAGAGGACTGTTTGTTTTGAATAACAAATGCCTGCATGATTGCAAGGATGGACTTCCAACACCTCCAGTTATTTTCAGTGTGCAGAAGCTGACTCCTCTTGGCATGGCTTGAGCACAAACACAACCTGACCAATGTGGTCTTGGCAGCGAAAGAGATACAATGCTCCTGAGTTGCCTGATTTAGAATCATGGAATGTTTTGGGTTGGAAGCTCCTTAAAGCCTACCTCGTTCCACCCTCCTGCCATGGGCAGGGACACCTTCCACTGGCCCAGGTTGCTCCAAGTCCCATCCAACCTGGCCTTGGACACTTCCAGGGATGGGGCAGCCACAGCTTCTCTGGGCAACCTGTGCCAGGGCCTCCCCACTCTCACAGCCAACAATTCCTTCCCAATATCCCATCTAACCCTGCCCTCTGGGAGTGGGAAGGCATTCCCTCTTGTCCTGTCCCTCCATCCCTTGTCCCCAGTCCCTCTCCAGCTCTCCTGGAGCCCCTTTAGGCCCTGGAAGGGGCTCTCAGGTCTCCCTGGAGCCTTCTCTTCTCCAGGTGAACCCCCCCAGCTCTCCCAGCCTGGCTCCAGAGCAGAGGGGCTCCAGCCCTTGGAGCATCTCTGTGGCCTCCTCTGGACCTGCTCTAACATGTCCACATCCTTCTGATGTTGGAGGCCCCAGAGCTGGGTACAGTACTCCAGGTGGGGTCTCCAAGATTTGTTCAGGCCTGTGTGCTGTACTGGTTCAGCTGTTTGCTTCCCTCTCTGCTGTCCTGGAATCATCAGGCTCCAAGACTTCTGCTGTGGGAAGGCTGACGCAAACCCCATCAGAGGCAAGAGAAGCAGCTTTTTTAACCTAAAAGCCAAAAGCTTAGGAAGAACAAATCCAGCAGAGAACAGAGATGCCATAGGAAAAGCTCTGTTTGCAGTGCAGTGTGATATTTGTACCAGAACAGCTTGGTGTAAACTGGCCACAAGCAGCTTCACACTGAGAATTAGCAGAAGGTTCTTGCAGGGTCGAGGACTGAGGAGCATGAGGGGACCTTGAAGAATGAGGTTCCAGAGAGGATTTTGACAGGTTAGCTGTGAGAACTGGAGGCTGGCTCAGCAAGCTGGCAGCCGTTACCAGGGTCTGAATAGCCAGTGCTTAAAGGGACACTTGAAAAGTGCTTTCAAGCCAGGGAAGCACACTGGACTTTCCCACACACTCCTTCTTGTTTCTTGAGCATAGCAATAAGAATTGAATCTTCTAAAGTAAACCCTGGAGAGGTTGCAACATGGAAAAACGGTCTCCAGATAGGAGTAGACCTTGGGAGTTCTTTCCTCCGCAGCACAGCCCTCAGGCTGAACTTCAGGCTGGTTCCTCCCCAGGGGGAGGACTTGGGTACCTTGATGCCTTCTCCAATTTCAACTCCACTTGCCTGGGTCCATACATGTGGCTTTCGTGTTCAGCAGGAACCTCTTCCTCTGGAAAACATCTGCAATAAAACAGCTTCACTGCCCTGATGAGCTGGCTCTGAACAAGGACCAACCCCTTCGTCCAGCCAAGGCACACCAGCCGTGTTTGCCCCAGGGGTTGCTGTGAGGATCACAGAGCTCTTGCCTTCCTCTCTGCCCTGCTCAGCAGATGTGATCTCATTAGAGACACAAGGGGCTCTTGGGCTCAAGGTGGAGTCTTGTGGGGACTGCTGTGCCTGGGACCCCCCCTTCCTTTTCTCTGGCCTCTCTGGGGATTGAGTTTCCACTTCATCCCTTCCCTCTTGGTGTCTGCAGGGCCAGCAGGGCCATCACTTCAGGGTCTCATTTTGGAGCAAAAAAGGAGTGTTTGTGTTTGGGACAGCCAAGCATTGGCCTCAGGCACAAGGAGAGTGTGCAGGCCATGTCATGGAGACAGCGGGGCCGGGGAGGTAGAGATGGAAACCCAGTGGTGTTGCATGTGCAGAACCAACTCAGGGAGTCTGGAGCTTGCTGTGCTGCAGAAAGATTTTTATGTTAATTGTCGCAGTTCAGGGTATAGTATTTAGTGATGCTTAAAGGTGCTGCAGAAATCTTTTTTGCTCTTGGACTTGTACTCCTCTTGAGCTTGGCTTCAAGGTTTCAATATTCCAACAGCAGAGCTGGCACGCTGGTCTCGGCTGTTGGGAGCAGCTGTGGCTCTTCTGGCTGCTGTGAGCAGATGCAAACTATTCCAAGAGTCATCAGAGAGGGGAAGAAGACTTGTGGTGGTGCTTCCTGATCCAATCAGGAAGAAGCAGTGCTAGGATCATTCCTGATGTCCTCATATACCAGTGATTTAAACTGTTCCTGAAAGTATGGCTTGCCAGACTCTTCCCAGACAGTGTGAAAAATGCTCCCATCTTACAGCAAAGCTGCAGCCCTAAAGGAATGATGAATATTGTTGAGTTCTGCTTAGGCAGGTGTTTTGAGGAGCTGCTGTTTGTCCTGTTAAGGGCTTCTTAGTATGCAGGAAGATGGTGGGGTTTTGGCAGCTCAGCAGACTCAGGTGTAGGCTCTGCTTTCTTGGTTGCAGCAAATACCTTACCTGCCTTGGGTCATTCAGGTGGGGTTGTCTAGCTACTGGAGAAGTCTGCCCTGCCTGCCAAAATATTTATCAAAAGCACAGGGATAAATAACCCCCCAGTGTGCTGTGGTGTTGGGAAATGGCCTGGCAGCAGGATGTAACTGCCCATGAGCCAAGGCCCGAGGTGCCAGCTGGAAAGCCATGACCAAATGGAGCTCAAAAAGAGCAGGAGGGACAGAGTGTTCTGGTTCCTGTCAGTACTGGATTTTCTGTTCATGGTTTGCTTCATCCTTTGGGCCAGAGAAATCCAGTCTGGGGGTCTTCAGGCTTCTTCAGCAACAGCTTTTTTCCATCAGTGGAGAATAGCAGTGAGTGACACTTCCCTGGCCACCCTGTCACTTGCCTGCACTGGGCCGAGGCCTTTGGCAGTCATGGGAGTGCTCCCAGCAGTTCCTTGTGAGATCCAGCTCCTAAAGCATCTGGGAAGTGTTTCTGGACAAGGCTGCCTTGCACCAACAGTGAACACGCTGATTTCCACTCGCCTTTCAAAGCTTATTGCTGATAAACCTGGTCCAAACCTGCTGCAAGCAGGCAGAGATGGTACTTCCCTACCACCACTGTGGTTATGTGGACAGATCTGTGTGTCAGCTCCTGCTGGAAACAAATTTGGCTTTTGGCAGAGTAAGTGTCCACATGTGCTGCTGGATACAATGACTGGTGATCTCTCTATGTTCCTTGTTCACTCATGTGGAAATTTCTGTCACTGCTATGCTGAGGGTTGTGCCAATCTCAGTAGTGTGGAACAAAACCAGAATGGGAATGAACTCTGAAAATCAACTGTGAAAAGACCTGAGATGGATCTGCGGATGAGTCCAGTCCTCTTCCACCTCACACAGAAGCTGTAGGCAGGTTGGGGAAGGAAGGAAGGAAGGCTGTTGTGAGGGGTCCAGGATACCCTTGATCTGAGAAGCTGAGTGTGGAGCTTTTACTGCATGCTGTGGGAACCTGGGGTACGTAATGCTCACAAAAGGGCTTTGTGAAGCTAAAAATGGAGAGCCATGGAGAGAATACAGTGTTGACAACCATCTAGGCACTTAGAGAGCAAATTAGGCTGCAAATGGGAAACTGTTCATTTGTCGAGTGGAGGAAATTAAAATTCTGTGCACGTTATTCCAAAGCAGACTTTAAAAAAACCTGACAGATCTTACTTGGAACTGTCTGCAGAGATGGAGCCAGCTCTCTCTGTGTGCATAGCTGAGTGCTGTTCTCTCTGGGGGAGAGATGGTAATGACAGAGTGGATTTGGGATGTGTGCTCTGGAAACATGGTGTCTAGAGCATGCCAGCACCACTTGGAAGCAGTACAAGGTTATCTGGCAGCACCAGGAGCTGGCCAGAGGTTTAGAAGGCTGTGTCCTCCCTCTGTTGAGCTACAGCACAGCTGGGTTGGGCAGGATGGGGACAGAGCAGGGCACAGGCAGCTTGGCCTCGGTGTCTTCTGACAGTCTTCCCTATAAATGTGTGTGCTGGAGCTGTGGCGTGGCCTGGAGGCCCAGCTGGCAGACAGGATGTCATCTCTTGCTTTTAGAAATTGTGGGCTTGACCTTCCACCCCGCTGAGAACGTGGGGCTGCATTTCTGCTGATGTTTTATCCTTATTCCTATTTAAAGAAGATCCAGGCGGAAGCTGCCAGCAAAGCTCTCTCCTCCTAAAGCATATTCCTGGCAAGAGCAGACAGCTCTTGGGTCTGTTTCTCTTGGCTAAAGGAACTTGTCAATCCAGAGATGAAGGAAGTAGACTTCATTTATCCTGCTGGCCGTTTATCTTGGAAGGGGGTCATCAAACTCTTTGCTTCGTTGTTTCCTGCCTCTCGTTCATTCTCACGCGCGGCCTTGGAAGATGGAAATCAAAACAAATAGAGGAAAAATTAAAAGAAAGCTCAGAGTCTTGTTTTTTTTTAATATGCACTTAAAATGTGATGTATCCTGCTAGTAAGTATTTCTAGATGGGGCTCTTGAAAAGCAGTGTCTTTGGGTTTGTGGGATGTTTTTAATTATGGAAAATCATTACTCCCTTCTAATTTTTCCTCTCTAAGTGTGGAAGAAACTGACCCTTTTCTCCTCCAAAACAAAAACAACCTCCAGTTCTTTCTGAGTGTGACGTTTTTGGGCTATTCTAAAAATGGCACTGCAAAAAAAAATTACAAACTCTAGGCATGAGCTCCAGACTTTCTTTGGAGGACACTGAAGATGCTTCTCCCATCCCACAGATACTTCTGCCATTATGAAAATGGCAGATTCCTCAGAAGAACCTCAAACCCACACTTGGAAGGGCTCACTCTTCATGTTGGGCTGTCAAACACGAAAGCCAACCCACCACACCTGACTTGCCTTTTGTGCCCCCTCCCCTTCTGTTTTTGTACATTTGAGCCTTTGTGCAGAAGGTGCAGATGTGGAGATGTGGGTGGGACAGTGAGGGCAGAAACAGCAAGTGTTGCCTGGAGAGCACCTACCCTGGGGTGGAAGCACCATGCAGTGAGGTTGGGACTAAAGCTGAAAAAATCAGAATTTTCTAGAGTAAGGAATCTGAATTGTTCTAAAATTATAAAATTGGTCAGGCTTTGAGAGCTGCTTATTCTGAAAGAGCTGAAAGAAAGGCAGACAAGGTCAAGGCACACGCAGTGCACTGGGGGAAGGCTGCTGTTCCTGTGGGGCAGCAGTGCCAGCTGCAGATGTGACTTCACTGGGAGGATTCAGGTGCCTTCGTGGTTCAGATGCCAGTTTATCACTCCTGTGTGCTCCACATCTCACGTTGCTGATTATTTTTTCATAAATTTGAAGCGTATCAGATACAGGCTGTACAGGCTGCCCCTCATGGGCTTTAGCAGCAGCAGGGATTTTGAGAGGACTGGATAGCTGGTGTTTTCCATCTGTTAGCACATCCTCCATTTCAGGGAATGAAGGAGCAACTCCACAGGTAGGTGAGGGTGCTTTGGTGGTCCCTGACTCATACCAGGACAGATGGTGGGCAGTTTGTCAGCTCTCTCCTTCTCTGGGCTGAATCCAGGCACCTCTTGGGAGGACCAGGCTGCCAGCTGAGCCCTTCCTTTGCCAGTTTAAGCTTGTGCTGGGGCCTCACTGGAGGGGCAGCTGTTCCTCAGGATACCCCTGATTCAGGGAGGACTGGTTTGCTGAGCTTGCTGCTCAGTGATCTGGTTTGGTTTGCCTTTAGCTTGTCTTGCTGCTCCTGGGTTCCCTTTCATCCAGTGCTGCCTTCCCAGCTGGATTGTCTCCTCTCTCAGCATGAGATCATCTGCTCCTCCCTAGTTCCCATTTCAGGGCATCTTCAACTGCAGTTCTGCCAAGTCAGCTTGGAGTGCCTGTTGTCACTTGGAATGTCCTTGATTGCAAAGAAGAGAGTGACAAGAAGTCAGAAAAATAAGAGGGGAGCTGGAGAAATGCTGCTGCTGAGGACAATTCCCTAAATGCTGTGTGTTGCCCAGCCAGTACCGAGCCCTGCCTCCTGTGCCTGCAGGGCCAGCACTGCCCTCGTGTCTGTCCTCAGCAATGCTCAGAGTCGAGCAGAGCTCCTTGGTGGGAGATGCTGTGGACCTGAGTGGTGGCCACCAGTCTGGCCACGCTCCTGGGTCCTGCTAACCAGGCTCAGGGTGAGGTGGAGACTCCAAGGAGCTGCTCCTGCCTGGGGTTGTGCCAGTCCTGGGCCAGCACCACTGTGCTGCAACTCCAGAGGTGACTGGGAAGTGAGTCATGGATGTGGGTGGTGTTCAGGGACAATGGAGGTGGGCCTGAGGATGCTGTAGGTACCTCTTGCCAGAAGAAAGGGTTGTTCTGTGTCGGTGTGCCAGTGACAGTGGGAGACACCTTCAGCAAAGCCCGGGTGGATCCCAGTCCTGAGAGCTCAGTCCTGCAGAGATGCTGTGGGGCTTACTGGCATCATTCAGCTTCTTCCTTGTCAGCACAGGGCTGACAGTGAGACTGTTCTGTAGAGGGAAAACACATTGAAGAGGGGTGTACGTGATTGACTCTGTCCTGCCCTGCTGCCTGTCTGCCACTGACTGCAGCTCTTCTGTGTAAGGGGAAAGAAAAAGACTGTTTCTGCCTCAGTGAACTTGTATCAAATTTGTGACAGGATGAGGTGTATTTTGCTCCTCCAGATACACAGTCACCAAGGCAGTTCCTGCTCCTGTGTAGAGACTGCAGCTTTGGAAATGATTTGGAGGATGCCAAAGCCAAAACAGGAGTAAAACCTTCCCTAATGACCTGGGAGTGCATTAGCACAGTCCTGTTGTCTCCATTTTTGCCCTATCAGCACACAAATGGTGCAGCTGGAGCAACGTTCTGTCTCTTGCCCTCTTGGTTTCTGCACTTGGAGATGGTCTTTTCAGGTTATGTCCCCCCCTTTTCATGTTGCCTACTATGAAACCTCCTGATTGCTTCTGATTTTCTTCCAGGGAATTCTCTTGGTGTATGACATCACTAATCGCTGGTCCTTTGATGGGATAGACCGATGGATAAAGGAAATAGATGAGGTAAGGGAATGGAAGAACATGTGCAGGGATCTATAGCAGAAATTTGGGGAGGTATCACCTGAGGTGTCACCTCTGATATGGGGACAGGAATGGCTCTGCTATGGAGGGGACATGGTGGCAGTGCAGTACTGAGCAGAGCAAAGTGATAAGTGCCTGCTGTCCACCTCTGTGTAAATCTGGAGTAGTAGGAAAGAGCTTGGGAATGGTCGAGGAAGGTAGGGAAGTTCCCTCTAAAATCACAGGATCACAGAATGTGCTGAGTTGGAAGGGACCCACAAGGGTCATCAGGTCCAACCCTGGCCCTGCACAGGACCATCCCCAGCAGTCACACCATGTGCCCCAGAGGATCATCCAAACGCTCCTGGAGCTCTGGCAGCCTTGGGGCTGTGCCCACTGCCCTGGGGAGCCTGGTCAGTGCCCAACCACCCTCTGGGGGAAGAACCTTTTCCTGACATCCAACCTGACCCTGCCCTGACACAGCTCCAGCCATTCCCTGGCTGCTGTCCCTGGTCCCCCCAGAGCAGAGCTCAGTCCCTGCCCCTCCTCTGCCCCTGCCCAGGCAGTTGGAACTGCAGCGAGGTCTCCCCTCAGTCTCTTCTTCTCCAGCTGAACACACCAAGTGCCCTCAGTGTCCTCACAAGGCTTCTCCTCCAGGCCCTTCACGAGAGCCATGATTTCTCCACTCCTTTCCCTGTTCCAGCACGCCCCAGGTGTCCCTCGGATCCTGGTGGGGAACAGGCTCCACCTGGCCTTCAAGCGGCAGGTGCCGACGGAGCAGGCGCGGGCCTACGCCGAGAAGAACTGCATGACCTTCTTCGAGGTGAGCCCCCTGTGCAACTTCAACGTCATCGAGTCCTTCACGGAGCTGTCCCGCATCGTCCTCATGCGGCACGGCATGGAGAAGATCTGGAGACCCAACCGAGGTGAGCGAGGAGGCTGCTCCTGTGGGGAAGGCTGGGCTCACGTGGAGGGATGGGGCTGGCTGGGGGGGGATGTTCCTGAGGAACTGTGGGAGCTGAATCCACCTGACAGGGAGAAGTGCCTTGGGCCAGACAAGCTGAAGCTGAGCCACAAGCTGCCTGGACTGGTGCAGGGCTGGGCAGCTCCACAGGGCAGTTCAGCATGTCTGGGATCTGCAGTGCTCTGGGGCATCCTCCACCTTCCCACTCACTCTGCAGGAGGCTCAGGGCAATTATCTCCCAGCTTGAAAGTACTTCAGTCAGACGGCTGTGTGGGACAAATCCAAGCGTAAGCACCTCGGTCCTTGCCCTTGCCTGAGCCTGTCCCCCCTGTTCCAGAGGGAAGCAGAGCAAGCCCAAGGAGCTGAAAGGGACTAAACCTCCTCCCTGCCTTCAGCAGACAGCACTGGGCTGGGGGATTCCATATATCCCGGCACATGGGCTGCAGTGAGGCAAACCACAAGCAGATTCCGTGTTATGTCTCAGCTTGTTGGCTTTGAAGAAAAATAATCTCAGTTCCCACGTTATTCCTGGCTGGAAGTGTCCCACTGCAGTCTGAGCAGCAGGAGATCTGTGTACCTGGAGTGCCCTGCCCTCCCATGGATCTTCAGCTCCTGCTCACTAGGGAGGGGGAATCCTGTTTGCCATCCCTAGTCCCCAGATGTTTTGCCTGGGCTCCTGTCCCTGACTGTGGCACACTTAGCTGCTGTGCCACAATCTCCAGGTCACCGAGGGATGGTGGGCAGGGAATGTGCTGCATTCACAGACCTTTCCTGAACCTCTTCCAGAGGTTTTGTAACTGTGGGCTGCCTGCTTGGGAACAGATAGGGCAAAAGGAAACGGCCTCAAGTTGTACCAGAGGAAGTTTAAATTGGATATTGAGAAAATGTCTTCCCTGAAAGGTTGATGGTCAGGCCCTGGCACAGCTGCCCAGCGCAGGGTTGGGGTCACCATCCCTGGAGGTGTTCAAAAGAGGTGTAGATGTGGCACTTGGGGAGGTGGGTTAGTGGTGACCTTGGCAGTGCTGGGGAGCGGTTGGAGTGGATAGTCTTAGAGGGCTTTTCCAACCTGAACGATTCTGTGTTTCTATGAATGGGGGGCTGCCTGCTCGGGAACGGGATCTGCCTGCTCGGGAGTGGGAATCTGCCTGCTCGGGGTCGGGACCGCGTGCTCGGGATCAGCAGCGTGGCACTGGCGGGCGGGAGGAGGATAACGCGTGCCCTCTTGTGGCCGCTGAATGGGAATTCCCCTCCAAGGAGAGGGACTTCCCAAGGCGGGCTCACATGGTGCAGGCTGAGCTAAGAGGCTGCTGGGAAACGGGGAAGAGCAGAGTGGTGTTCTGGCTTGGTGGGGTCTCTGTGCCTGGGGGGTTCTGCAGAGAGCTGCTGCTCCCCGAGGAGGTCCCAAGGAACACTGTCCTGTTTCAGGACTTACTGACCCTGTTGCCTCTTCCCTGGGCATGCCCTGGTTGCCAGAGGATGTGCTGAGAAGCCAAGTGTCTGTCAGGAACAGAGCCAGGCCCTGCCACCCCTGCACTGAGCAGGGGAGGGCTGGCAGTGCCTAACCCTGTGTTGACACCAAAGCTGGTGTCTGGCAAAGCGCAAACCTCCAACAGCAGAGCTCACCTTGATTGCCCAAGCTTTTTTCCTAACCAACCTGCTCCCTCCTCAAAGCTCCTATGCAGTCATTCTTGGTATCTCTCCCCGAGAAGCTGGAGCTGTGCAGCATAAGGAATAGCTGTGGGATGAGGGCAGCCCAGGAAATCTCTTGGCCCTTGACTATGTGGTCCTTTCTCCTGCAGTGTTCAGCTTGCAGGACCTGTGCTGCCGAGCCATTGTGTCCTGCACCCCAGTCCACCTCATCGACAAGCTGCCCTTGCCTGTCACCATCAAGAGCCACCTGAAGTCCTTCTCCATGGCCAACGGGATGAACGCAGTGATGATGCACGGCCGGTCGTATTCCTTGGCCAGCAGTGGGGGCGGGAGCAGCAGCAAAGGGAACAGCTTGAAGAGATCCAAATCCATCCGGCCGCCCCAGAGCCCCCCACAGAACTGCTCACGCAACAACTGCAAGATCTCTTAGCAGGATGGGCACCGGGAGCTTCTGTCGGATCCGCACCCACCCACCAATGTACAGCTGTTTGCACACCCGGCCCTTTCCCACTGGATCCTTTCGGATGGGTTGCTTTTCCAATGGCACGCACAAGCGTTAGGAATGTGCTCACGTTTTGGCTTGGCATAGGAAGAAGCGTGGTGCCGGCTGGATCCCGCAGCGCTGCCGGAGAGAGGATCTGCCAAGTGACCCTCCAAGAATGCTTTGGGCTTTGCCTCTCGGCCTGGGGTGGAAAATTCAGCAGCTGCCGGGCTGGGGAGGGGGGAAGGGGGAAAAAAGCTCATCAAGTCTCAATGGAGCAATGGATTTAATGGAAGATTGAGAGGCTTAAGGGAGTAGGCAAGGAGAGTCTGTGCTGCAACTTTAACTCTTGGCCTCCTGAACAGATTGCTGGTGCAATAGTGATCCTTGGATGTAGACAAAAAGAAACAGGGACAGGGGAATAATGACAGTTTTCACCGGGATGTTCACCTGCTGTTGCCAAAAAAACCCAGAAAATAAGGCAAGAGTTGGCCAATTGGAAAGGGGAAGGCAGCGCTCGCTGCCTTCGCTTATTTATGTAAATATTATACATATATATATATATATCACTTGTTTTTTAAGGGTTTTTTTAAGAAGCTGTCAGGGAAAATTTTATGCAGCCATGTAAATACAAGCACTGGATGGACTTTCCCAGTGTCAGCAAAGGGGAGAAGTGGAGGATTTTCTGATGAAAACACATAAATGCTTTAAGAGACTTTCCCTCACCCCTGGGCTCATGGTGGCATTTTTAAATACTGCGTGTGCAGAAGGAGAGGACAATTCGTGTGGAACATGCCCCAAGCTGCTTTATTCCAATCACTCCCTAAAACTTGTGAGTGCTGATGCAGGGTGGGATGGCAGTTGGGGATTTGGGAGCAAGGGGTGGAAGCATTGTACCTAAAGCAGAGGAAAAATGCTGAATTTTGTCCCTTATTGCTGCAAAACCTTGGCTGTTGCTTCCAGTGCCCTCCATCGAGGACACTACCCCGTGTGACAGCCTGTGGATTCTGGCTGCTTCCAGCTTTGCTTTCCCAAAGATGCTGCCTGAGGTTGCACTGCTGTGGCTCCTCCTGGATGAAAGTGGGAAAGGGCAGAAATGGCTTTTCCTACTGGAGCGTGAAGGAGCAGGGATTAGGAAGGTGAAAGGTCGGGGTGGGGAAAAAGCAATCCCCAGGTCCCTTAGTGGCAAAGTCACTCAGTTCTTGGGGCAGTCCCAGAAGATCAGGAGAGCAAACTGCTTTGCTCCATAGGACAGCTCCTGGATTTTGAAGGGGCAAGAGCTTGGGATGGATCTTCTGTCAAGCAAGTGCACCTGCTTTCCTGGCTTCATCCCACAGCTGACCTGTGCTGGGAATTCACCTGGAAGCTGAGAAGTAATGCCCAGCCCTTACCCCAGAAGCTCAGGGGGTTGGCAGTGGGGCTGAGCTGTGGTGGCAGATTCTCGTGGGTGGCCGGGGTGTGTGGACTGTGAGTACCATGGTAGGAAGCGAAGTGTACAGTGCTGCCGTCCTGCTCCTGGGATCAGCAGCTCCTCAAGGCCTGGGCTCACTCCGTTCCCCCTCCCCAAGCCGCTCGTTGCACTGTGTGGGCAGGATGAAGCCGCAGCAGCTCCTGTGCGGCCGACAGACCCGCCAGACCCGCCGTGTCCAGGCTGGACACATCCCCCCGCGGGGACATCGCCTTCCCTCGCTCCCGAGCCCACCTGGGAGGTACTGGAGCCTTCCCCGTCCCCTCTGCAGAACACAACAGGGGCAGGTCTCTTGGCTCAGCTTTATCTCTGCTTTATCACCCAGCTCAAGTGAGCGGGGAGAGAATTAAACCCCAGGCAGGCGGAGGGGGAGAAGAATCCTTTGTAGTGGTGCTTTGGCTCGAGAGCAAAGCCAGGGCCGGGCCCGGCGCGGTGGCACAAGGCCGGGGGATTTGGAGAACCTGTCTGGGCTGGCTGGCACCTGTTTCCCATCACTTAACACACAGCAGAAGACAATCGCTGGCTCAGCAGCCTGGGGATATACGGCCGACAGGTGACGGGCACCAAAACCGACGGCTTCTCCCGGGAAACACCACCCGGGCACTGCAGGGCCCCGGCTGCTCCCGGCACCGGTGTGTGGGGCAAAGAGGGATGGAGGGCTCCTTCCTGAAACCACCAAGCTGCTGCATGTCTCAAAACTGGCTGTACCTCTGCTTTGGTTTGGCTGTGCCACGTGTGCCACCTCCCCACACTGTTTCCCTGTGGTTGGTGTGGGTTTTGCCACCCTGTAAAGTCTCACGGATCCTGTCTGGAGTGAGGATGGATGATTTCCCTGGAGTGATTGCCCAGCAACAAACTTTAATTTAAAAGGAAAAGATGCTTGCATCTGACGTCAACACTAGTCTGTAGCTGCTCTCCAACACTTGTACCATTCCTGAGTTGGTTTTTTGGACTATCCTTTTATTTTTTTATTCCTTTGTACAGTCAGTGTTGTTCAACTGATTCTACATGGTTTTGTTTTGTATAAATTAAAGTCTTTTTGTTTGTTTTGATCTACCAATTGAAAGGTGGAGAAGTTGTATCTAGTTTTGTGGGGGCTGGGAAGAGGTTGAAGGGAAAAGGTGGCAGTTTGCCCATACCTGGGGATTGGGAGCTGCTTCTAGTGCAGGGGTGTATTGCCACTTCCAGGTCATCCAGAAAATAACTCAAATTACATTTTCTGGGGAGTCTTCACAATCATGATTCCTGACTGTGGTGGCTTTTTGCCCTTTTCTGTACCTGCAGAGGCTAAATCTGTTCTTGATTCTCACAGATTTGGGGTAGTGGTGCTCTAAGAAAACACAGATTCATTTCCAACACAGTTGGTCCCATAGGTGGCTGGAGAAAACCAGGCTCCCCAGCAGCTTGCCAGGAATTGTGCTCATCCCTGCTCCACAGGGACAGGTTTGCAAGTAAAGCCTTAAATCCCTTCTTTGGGTCCAGGTGATCCTGGGGGAGCCGTCACCCATCCTGCCCAGACTGGAGCAAGCTGGAGGCCGTCCTGGGATAAATGTGACTGAAACGGAGAGGATGCACCACCAGTGTCACATCAGGGTGGCCCTCGGAGGCACTGGGAGCCCCAAAGAAAGGGGATTTGCTCCTGGGGTTGAGGGAGACTTCTTGTCTGATCCTTTTTTCCCAGCCCACCTCCCCTTGACCTCCCTTTTCCCCTGCCTTCTCACTTCCCTAGGATCAGATTTTCCACTTCGTACCAGACTGGCCACGCTTGTTTTAACGGCTTAAGTAGTAATTGCCAGGGCTGGGAGGGGGCAGGGGGAAATGAGATCGTGTCTGCAGCCTGGAAAACCCTGGAGCTAAGGTGAAAGCCTGGTCAGGGAAGAGCCTTTTTTCCCCCCCCTTTTTTCAGGGGTTTCTGGAAGTGTCTGTTGCCTCTTGCAGGGCTGAAACAAAGGCTGTGTGTGGTTTCAGGTGGGGCAGGGACAGCCGGAGCCCATTACGCTGGAGCAGCGGGGGCTGCCTGGGCCACAGCTGTCTGCCTGGGAAGAGCAGGACAGGAAAACACTGCACAGCCTCAACGTGGTGGGAAGGCTGGAAGAGCTTCAGGGCTCTGTGGAGAAGGAGGAGGGAGCAGGTTCCTCTGGGGTGATTCAGGTCTTTCCTCAGAGTGTGTTTCTCCACAAACACCTTCCCCATTTGAGGTGTCTTGGTTTGGTCCCACTCTTCCTCACAGGCTGGGAAGAGGTGGTGACCTCCATCTGACTGCAAAATGCTTGAAAATGTGGGTGCGTGTCCCTGTGAGTGTGGAAGAGGGGCAGGAGCCCCCTGGGTGCAGGGGGTCTTTGGAGGGGGACACATGGCACTGCACCCTTTCTCCGGAACACAGTGCTGAACCACTCCCTTGTCTTGAAGGGAGAAGATGAACCATAACCTGGCATGAGCTCAGTTGGTTAAAACTTGGTCCTGATAATGTCAAGGTCATGGGTTCAATCCCTGTATGGGTCATTCACTTAAGGGTTGGACTTGATGATCCTTGTGGGTCACTTCCAACTCATAATATTCTGTGATAAAACTCACATCTGTGTCTGGGATGGGACACAGGGACACCAAAAATCCTGTTTTCGGGTGCCATGGGTGCTTGGACACTTGGAGGTGAACAGTTTAGGGGAGACCGAAGTTAGAGCTGCTTCAGGCCTTGAGATGGTGAAAGTATTGTGGGCTTGGTCAGGTTTGGGAGGGTCACTTTGTCCTTCATCTTCAGCTGAAGAATCACCAGAAGAGCCTGGGTGGGGGTGAGGGTCTCAAGCTGGGTGGGGGTCCCCAGGGGTGGGTGAGGCTCTCAAGTCACTGGGAGCTGCATTTCCAACCACGCAGCACTGGCATCTCTCTGTCCAGTGCTGCACCACTGGGGTGAAGGTTCCCTGCCACTGCTTGTCCGGCCTCATGGCCTTTGGTCTTGGTGACACAGGGATGAGACGTCTTGGGCTCTGGTGTGAAACACGTGCCACCCTCAGGGCTACTCCTCTGGCTCTGGAGAGGGGCCGTGGGGCAGGAGCTGACCCAGACCCCAGCACCATCATCATGCTGTGACCACACAGAGCCCAGGCTGTGGATGGGTGAAAGCTGGGCTTCAGCTTTGCTGTTCCCTCCAGCACCAGCACCCTTGGGAGGATTCTGGGGCACCCCAAAGTGGCTCTGTAGCCCTGGGCTGCATCACCAGGGTGCAAGGGGCCCTGCAGCTGCCACACTGCTTCCCATCTGGAGCAGGGTGGGTTTGTGGGTCAGGGATCTCCAGGGAGCCGGTGGCTGGGGGGGGCTGGGTGGCTCTGGGGGTCTCTGGGGTGCCAGGGTATGCAGGGTATAGCCCCCAGCAGCTCCTAGCTGGGCTATCCTGATGCAATTCCCTGTTTGCAAAACATCAGCCTTCCTGAAAGTGTCCCGGGGCAGCAGAACCTCCCCTTGGCAACCATGGCTGTAGGGACCCTTGGTTGGCTGCTGGGCTGTGGAACTGGGGATCCCAGGCACAGCCATGGGACACACTCCATCCCTCCAGGTGTGGCTGTGGCCAGCTGGTGACAGACCTGACTGTGCTTTGGGGTTTTGGGCCCCGGGGAGCCCCAGCATTGCCCTGGGCAGCCCAGAGCCCCCGGCAGCACAGCTGATGGTGAGCCCGGGCAGGGAGGTGGCAGCACTGGCAGGTGACTGTGCCAGGGCACTGCAGCTACACCCTGCTCACACCAGCGTGGGGGTGTCGAGGGCCCCCTAAATCATCTGGTCTGGGGCAAAAGGGGTTCCCCGAGGAGCTGCACGCCAGGGGAGCACCAAACCATTACAGGCAAAAGCCCCTCGGGGTGTGGGTAAGTTGGATTCCCCGCCAAAACAAAAACCAAACAAGAAAGGGCTCCCTTTCTTTTTTTATGTCCCCTCCACCACCTGCCCCCCAAGAGGAGAGGCTGGAGGTGTTGAGCTGCTCCCCCGGGGCAAAAGCCCCTCGGGTTTGCTGTTTCGCAGAGGCCGCAGACCCCCCTCGGCGCTGAGGCTCTCACCAGAGCCGGAAGAGTTAATGCTCCCAAAATGCCATGAAATGTTCCTGCTACAGGTCAGTCTCCAGCGGGGATTAGGGGGATCTGGCCGGGGAGCCGGGGCCGGCTCCTGGCAGCTCAGGGCCGGTGCGGGACGTGCTGGTTGAGCCCAGGCGCAGTGTGCCGGGTCTGGTCTGGCTCAGAGGACAGCCTGGCTGTAAATCAGCGGGGAGGGAGGGCTGGGAGCCCCAGGGGGAGCCCCTCCAGTTTGGCTGGGTGGGTACCCAGCCCGCGGGGCGAACCGGGGTCCTGTGCCGGCAGCGCGGCGCTCGTGGGATGCCGGCTGGGGAGCGGGGATGGGTCCGTGCCGCTGCCGGGATCCCGCTCCTGGGCACCTTTGGCTGTGGTGCCAGTGGGTGCCCAGGGGCGAGGTGCGGGGTGAGGGGCTCCCGGGCAGCCCGATCCCGCAGCGTGGGCTCCCCGTGCCTCCCACCGGACTGCAGGCTCTGCCTGTTTTCTCATCCTGCAGGAATTCGGCCCCGTGGGCCGAGCGGGTTTTCGTGTGTCGTCCCCCCCCCCTTCACTCTCCCTCTTTGGAGACTTTCTGCATTCTGCCTTTGATCTCCCCCCGTGTTTGCCCAGGGATCGCCGGGCTCGCCGGGGTTAGAGGCTGAGGTCAGCGCCTTTCCCATTCCAAACACCCAGAAACATCAGTGGGAAGGGAGGGGATTCAGATTACAACCTTCCCGTCCTCCCCTTCCACCCCACTCGCCCCGCTCGCCGCGCCGGGGATGGACTGAGCCCCGGGGACACCCGCCGCTGCCACCGTGTCCCCGAGAGCCGCGCGGCGATGGATGGAGGGCGGCGTTGCCGGGGGTCCGGCGGGCGCCGGCCGTGCTGAAGGGCAGAGGTTTGGTCCTCGCCTCCTCCTCCTCCTCCTCCTCTTTGTCCCCCCGCCTGCCCGCCTTCCCCCTCATTCCCTCCGTCCTGAATGTGATTTATCCCGAGCCCTCGCCAGCGAGCCAGGCCGGCGGCGCGGGGTGGCCCGATGGCTCCTCGTGGGGGTCGCGGGGCCCGGGACCAGCGCACGGGTGGGCGGCAGCGGGGCCCCGTGGGCATCGCGCTGCTCCTGCCCGTGCTGGCGGCGGCGGCCGGGCTGAGCCTGCAGCCGGGCAGGACGCGGCACCCGGGCGTGTGCCCCAACCAGCTGAACCCCAACCTGTGGGTGGACGCGCAAAGCACCTGCGAGCGGGAGTGCCAAGCAGACCAGGTGAGCGGGGGGGGGGGGCTGCGGCGGAGGGAGGTAACAGCTTTTGGGGGGCATCCCCAGGTCCCCGAAGAGATGTTTGGGGTGTGGGTCCTGTGCCCGGTGGCACAGCTGGTTCAGTTGTTTCGGTGCAATCGGCCCGGCTGCAGCTCTGCCCCCCCTAAGCCCCTGCTGGCATAAGAGGTGCCCTGGGGATGTTCCCCGGTTCTCCACAGGCAGAGAAACTGCTTATTGCCCCCACACGCCTCCCCCTCAGGCCATGCCCCTTGGACAGGATCCCCTGCCCCACCCAGCCATGGTGTGCTGGGACGGGGATCCCATCAGGCAGAGGACAGAATCAATCTCCTCCCAACTTTTCCCTGAGGGCAGAAGCACACCCACGAACTGGGCTGCCCATCCCAGAGAGCCCTGGCTCTGGGCTCTGCAGTGGTGAGCGGACCCCACCATGGTTAGGGCTGCCCAGACCCAGGATGGGGAGACTCCTTCACAATTCATCTGTGTAATGAGTTCTGCCTCCCCTCAGCCAGCAAAAGCTGAGAGGGGCAAGATGCTGTTTGCTTTGGGGGAGAAGGGCCCATCATCACTGCACTGCACCCCTAAACATCCTGGGGGTGCTGAGGGTGGGCCGGGGACGGTGCAGCAGTGCTGGGGAGGTTTTAGGCTCTTACCCAGAGCCCAGCAACGCCAAAGGTGCACAGAGCTGCACGGGAGACACCCACCCACCCAAAAGTCCCACGGGGTAGGAACAACCCCCACAGTCACAGCACGGCAGTGACCTCCATGTCCTCCCCACAACCTCCTCTCCCTCCCGGGCCAGGACTGTGAAGACTTTGAGAAGTGCTGCACCAACGTGTGCGGGCTGCGGAGCTGCGTGGCCGCGCGCTTTGCCGACGGCAGCGCCCCGGCGCTGGCCCTGGCACCCGCCGCGTCCTGCGAGAGCTTCGTGTGCGCCCAGCAGGGCTCCGACTGCGACATCTGGGACGGGCAGCCCGTCTGCAAGTGCAAGGACCGCTGCGAGAAGGAGCCCAACTTCACCTGCGCCTCCGACGGGCTCACCTACTACAATAAGTGCTACATGGACGCCGAGGCGTGTCTGCGCGGCACCCGCCTCACCACCGTGCCCTGCAAGCACATCTTCACCTGGCCCGACACCAGCCCGGTGCCGCAGGAGACCACGGCGCGCCCCACGCCCGGTGCCGGCCCCGAGGTGCCGGTGCCCCCCGCCCTCTACACCAACCCCTTTCACCAGTCCGTGCGCGCTGGGGGCACCGTCAGCTTCCGCTGCGACGTCAGCGGGCGCCCACGGCCGGACATCACCTGGGAGAAGCAGAGCGAGCGCGAGGAGAACTTCATCATGCGGCCGGACCAGATGTACGGCAACGTGGTGGTCACCAACATCGGCCAGCTGGTCATCTACAACGCCCGCCACGAGGACGCTGGCATCTACACCTGCACGGCCCGCAACGCCGCCGGGCTGCTCCGCGCCGACTTCCCGCTGTCGGTGGTCAGGCGGGAGCCAGGGGGGACCCCGCGGGCCAGCAGCCCTCAGCCCTTCCCCAGCGCCGAGTGCCTGAAGGAGCCGGACCGGCGGCGCTGCGAGGCCATGGAGGTGCGCTGGCACTTTGATGCCAAGCAGGGCTCCTGCCTCACCTTCCGCTACGGCGGCTGCGGGGCCAACAGGAACCACTTTGAGACGTACGAGGAGTGCCGAGCCGCCTGCCTGGGCAGCGCCCGCCCCACCTGCCTGCTGCCCATGGTGCAGGGGCCCTGCCAGAACTGGGAGCCGCGCTGGGCGTACAACCACCTGCTGAAGCAGTGCCACTCCTTCGTCTACGGCGGCTGCGAGGGCAACACCAACAACTTCGAGAGCAAGGAGACGTGCGAGGACGTGTGCCCCTTCCCCAAGAGCCTGCAGTGCAAGGCCTGCCGCCTCAAGAGCAAGATGGTGCTGAGCCTCTGTCGCAGTGACTTCGCCATTGTGGGCCGGCTGATGGAGATCGTGGAGGACCAGGACTCTGGCATTGCCCGCTTTGCCCTCGAGGACGTCCTCAAGGACGAGAAGATGGGCCTCAAGTTCTTCAACATCAAGTACCTGGAGGTGACCTTGACCGACATGGACTGGAGCTGCCCCTGCCCCAACATGACGGCGGAGGACGGGCCACTGATCATCATGGGCGAGGTGCACGACGGCATGGCCACGCTGGACCCCAGCAGCTACGTCCGGGCAGCCAACGACAAGCGTGTGAAGAAGATCTATGAGCTGATGGAGAAGAAAACCTGCGACCTCCTGAACCGCTTCCAGGACTAGGGGAGAGCCAGGACGTGCCAACGGGGGGAGCTGCAAACACACCATGGAGGGGGGTGGCCTGGGGAAGCCCCTGCACCTTCATGTAGTTCCCCCCAACCTCATGCTGAGCCCCAGAGCAGCTCCCATCTCCCCTGTAATTTATCTGCTGCATGCCCCCCTCTTGTGTGTCCCCCAGCCTGGCCAGCAGCAATAAGGAACTGGGTTGGGTTGCAGAGGGGTGGGAGGTCTGCCAGGACATCCCTGCTCCCCATAAAAACTTTCCCACCTCAGCAAAGCCTCTGGACCCCGTGTAGCACCCCCAGTGCAGAATCTGACCCCCGTGGGTGCTGGGGGTGGGTTGGAGATACCCCTCGTGTTGGCACTGAAAGCATCAGGGAGCTGCTGGGTCAGGGGGGAGCCAAAGCCACAAAGTTTATTGGGGGAACAGCACAGTCCTGGGAAAGGGGGAAGGATGATGGGCCCCCTGCCATCAGCACAGCATCCTTGGAGCAAACCGAGCAAGAAGTCTCCCCCATACCCAGGGGTGCTGTGCCCCCTCTCCCACACCTGTGCCCCCCATGCCTGTCCTCCTCTGGTCCAGGCTGTGGCACTCTGCTGCAAAGAGAGAAGGCACTGGGGGAGATGGACCCCCTAGCCAGGCCAGCCCCAGCTGGGGCAAGTGTGGCACTGACCCATCACTGCTGTCCCCAGATGGCACCTGTGGGGGGACGTTGGGACCCCTCGAGGAGGCAGCAGTGGGGGCAGCAGTGCCGGGAGGTGCTGGAGGTCCGGGCAGTTACAGCTTGCGGAAGATGAGGCTCTTGTTGTTGGCCGGCATGTCCACCTGGGGGCAGAGCTGGGGGTCAGGAGGCGCCCACTGGTCTGGGGACCCCCCCCAGAGCCCGTCACTCACCATCCTCTCCAGGCGCAGCCCGTTGGCCTCGGCCAGTTCCCGCAGCAGCGCCGTGTCCCGCAGGCCCCAGGCAGGGTTCCTGCGGGGAGGGAGGCTGGGTCAGGTCAGACAGATGGACACTGGGGAGGGAGGAGCGGGTCAGACAGACAGACATCGCATCCCGAGGCATCCCCATCTCCCGGGGGTGCCCTGGGGTGCGGGGGCTTCCCCCAGACGCTGCTTATCTTGAAGGACTACACTGGGAGGGAGCTTCCTGCAGCTGCAGGAGCACGGACAGGCAGGACAGACAGGACAGGCCCCCAGCAGCCTGGGACCCCAGCCCCCTCCTACCTCTGCCTCAGGCTGCGGTCAAAGTCCACGTTGCTCTGGGGGCTGATCTGTCCATCCACGGCGTAGGGCTGGTGGGACAGGGACCTGGAGCTGGAGCTGCAGGCGGGAGCTGTGTCCCTCTGAGCACCCCCTCCATGGGCTGCTGTCCCCACCATGCACAGAAGCCAAGCAGGAAGAGCCGTGGCCCCCAAGAGGCACCATGGGTCCCATCACCCTCTGCGAGTCCTGTCACCCACTTCAGGTCCTGTCACCCACCTTGGGTCCTGTCACCCCCTACAGATCCCATCACCCTCCACAGCCCCCCCCCCAGACTCTGCCTTGGATAAGGCAAGGGAGATGAGCATCTTTCCCATCAAAAACTGCCCCATCCAGGGCTCAGCATGTGCCCCAAAAGGCAGAGACTCCCTAAACCCAAGCTCTCTCCTTTCCCGCCCCCTCCCCAGCCATACCTGGAGCTGCCCTCCCACCTGCCACCCCCCAGCATTCCCAGTGATGCCCTGTGCCCTGCAGATGCTCCCACACCAGGACAGTGACCCACCCCATAGGTGAAGAGCACTCCTCCGGGCTTCAGCAGCACCCCAGCACCCTTGAACAGGCCCTGGGGAATCAGAGAGGTGGGGACCAGGTCAAGGGCTTGGGGACACCTCCTAGGACCCCCTCCTTGGCCCTGGCACTCTCAGACCAGGGGACAGGGCCTGTGGGAGTGCTGCTCACCTGGGTGCAGCGCAGCTCTGCGATGTGCATCATGTTGATGCTGACAAGGAGGTCGAGGGAGGCAGGCTGGGTGCCCCCCCACGTCTCCCAGCCCTGCGAGACATCCACCACGATGGGGGGCAGCAGGTTGGGCAGCCCCGTGGCCTCCACGTAGGCAGAGATGCTGTGGGCACCAAACCCCACCTGAGCCCCAGCCGGGCATTGCCTGGTCCTCCCCCCCCCCCGTGCATCCCTCCAGCTCCCGCTGCAGGCACAGGCAGAACTCCTGGATGGTGTCTGAGGAGGTTGTGGGTGCAGCACAGCTGGGGGGTCTTTGCTCCCCGATGGAGAACTGGCAGCACCTGGACAACCAGCAGCACATGGACGGAGAGGCCCCAGGGCCCAAACCCCCCACGCCATTCCGGAGCAGCCTGTGCTCCTGCCTGCCTGCACCCCCCCCGGTACCACTGCCCCAGCACCGCCAGATTTTGGTGTGATTTACACCCTTTTTGGCACATTCACCACCCAGGTCTTGGCTCTGCAGCCTCACAGGGCAGTGGGTGCTGCTGGGTGGGCAGGACACAACCCCCCCTGGACAGGCGCCGATTCCGGCACCTCCCCACAACGTGTATTTTTTTCCATGGGGAAAAGATGGATTTGGGGGCTTTTCTGGGAAAAATAAAGTCCTGAGCTGGGGAGCCTGGTTGGATATTGGGATTTACTGAAAAACAATATAGTGAGTATTGACTTGGGAAGCCTGGGATGGGCAGGAGTTGAATATTGTGGTTTGCCTGGAAAAAATAAAGTGTCAAGCAGGGAAGCCTGGGCTGTCCAAAGGGTCTTTGCTGGAAAAAAAATTCACATCGAGCTCATCTGGGAGCAAGATATTGGGATTTTCCTGGAAAAAATACAGCAGTGAGCAGGAGAGCCTGAGGTGCCAAAGGGTTGGATATTGGATTTTTCCGGGGAAAAAAAAAAAAATAAAGTGGGGAGCCTGGGCCCACTGTTGAGTGGGTCTGTTCTGGAAAGAATATCCATTTGACAGCTGGATATTGGGGTTTTCCTGGAAAAAACACAGCACGGAGCAGGAGAGCCTTGGCTGCCCGAGAGTTGGAGCTGGGGTTTTTCCTAGAAAAAATGAAGCGGGGAGCAGGGAACCCGGGCCGCGGGTCCGTGGGAGGGGGCTGCAGGCAGGCGGTGTCCCCGGGCCCCCCAACCCCCCGGGCCCCCCTCACCTGCGCAGGGCCCGGGGGTCGATGTCCGAGGGCTGCCAGCGCGTGTGCGGGAGGGCGCGGGCGAAGTGCGCGGCGTGGAGCCCCGCACCCGCGCCCACCTCCAGCACCCGCAGCGCCGCCCCCGCGGGGGCTCCGCGCCCCGCGCACTCCCGCAGCACCGCCAGGATCGGGCCCTTGTTGCGCTCCGCGGCCGCCGGCACCTCCATGGCCGGGCTGGGAGGGGATGGGGGGAACTACAGCTCCCGGCACCCCCGCGGGACCGGCCCACGGGACCGCCCCCACGGCCGCGGGTGGAGCTTCCACGGCGGGGTGGGTGGGGAGGAAAAAAAAAAAGGAAGGAAAAGGTTCCTGCGCCGCCCGGGAATCGAACCCGGGTCGCAAGAATGGGAATCTTGCATGATACCACTACACCAGCGGCGCTGCCGGCAGCGCTCCCGCCCCGCCGCGCCTCGGCCCCACGCGGGACCCCGGGGAGGCCGCTGGGCCCTGCAGTTCACCCACCATGCACGGACATTCCCACCCTGTCCTCCCCAACAAGAGCGAATCGAGGCTCTGCGTGGACACCCCAGGAAATTGGGGGTGAGTGGGGAACCACCCCTGCTGTGACTGTTCCCACTGGTGATGGAGGTCTGGAGGGATCCGTCTGGAGCACAAGGATTTGGAGTTCAGCCCTTCTGAGCATAGAAAAGCTCAGAGATGTGCCCACAGGCACTGACAAACCCCAGGCAGGTCTCAAGTGGGGAGACTGAGGCACAGCCCCTGCCGGCTGACAGGGCAGGTGACAACCAGCGGTGGTGTCCCCATGGGTCGGGTTGTATTTAGGCACGATAATAGGGTTGGGGAAGTCATGTGGATGTGACCGTGCTGGGTACACCCCTGCGGGTGAGCCAGGGGTGTCTGGCACCCACCAGGGTCAGGCGCTGCTGTGCTTTTTGGGGGGGACACCCTCCTGCATCCCCTCCCTCCCTGGCCACCACCGTGGACACGTGGCAGAAAGGCAAAGGTCACTCTCGTGGGGTGGCTTTGCAGCATCTGGAGCTGGGATGGAGCATTCAGGAGACCCCAGTGGGTTTGTCACATGGGCTCTCCCCGAACCCTGGCTGCTGTCACCAGCCAGCCCCGGGGGGGGGGCCGGGGACCAGCTCCGGGTCATGTGCCGGGTCTGCACCTCCCACCACGTGGGGACACCTCAGCGGGACCTCCCAGCTCCAAAGGTCACCGTGGCGGCCGGGACGCGGCCCCTGCTCCGGCTTCCCGCGCTGGTCATGGGGTGTGCGGCTCTGGGCTTGTCACAGCGCTGTACCCACGGGGGTGGCACCTCAGCCCCTGCCTCTGAGCCCCCTCGATGTCCCCTGCCTGGGCCCTCTGTGTCCCAGGAGTGACTCCTACGTGTCCCCTGTGTGTGCCATGGCTCCCGTGTTCCATCTCCTGAATGTCCCCATTCAGGTCCTCTCCATGTCCCCTGTGACTCCCGTGTCCCCTGTGTGCCTGTGCCATCTTGTGTCCCTCGTGCCTCCTGTGCCTTTTCCCTTACTTTGACCCCTGTGCGTCCCAATGTCCCTTGTGTGCATTCTATGTGTCCTGTGTGTGTCCTGTGTCTCCCACATGTCCCACATGTACTCGGGGTCCCACGCATGTCCCCTGTATGTCCTCATGTCCCACGCATGTCCCCATGTGTCCGCCGTGTGTTTCCTGTGTGCCCTCCACATCCCACGTGTGCCCCTCATAAGTCCTATGTATGTCCCAAGTGTGTCCCCCCATCCCGTGTCCTTTCCTTAAGGTCCCTGTATGTGTCCCGTGTATGCCCCCACATGTGCCCCAAACGTGTCCTGCACGTCTCCCTTGTGTGTCCTTGCACCCTGTGAGCCCCCATATGTCCCCCCACGTGTCCCCCCGACATGTCCTGCGTTTCCCCTGTGCATCCCCACGTCCCACACACGCCCCCAGTGTATCCCCTGAGTGTCCGCTGTGTGTCCCCACACCCCCTGTCTGCCACCAGCGTCCCCCATGTGTGTCCCCGGTGTGCCCTGCACGTGTCCCGTGTGTCCCCCGCACCTCCCACGCGTGCCCGTGATGCGTCCCGCGTGTCCCCTGCGCGTCCCCACATCCCACGCGTTCCGCCTTGTGTGTCCTGTGTGTGCCCCCTACGTGTCCCCCCATGCCACGCGCGTCCCTTACACACCTCGCATGTGTCACATGTGTCCCCGCACACCTCCCACGTGTTCCCGCGACGTGCCCCGCGCGTGTCCCACGCCCCCTCCCCGCACATCCCCAGCCCCTCTGCGCGGTCCCCCGCCCCACGCGCGCCCCCCGCGCGGTCCCTTTAAGCGCGGGGGCGTGTCGCGGGGCCGCCCGGCCCGGCCCGGCCCGTTAAAGGCCCCGGAGAGGGGCGCGCTCGGCAGTGGTGCGGGGGCGCGGGGCCGGTGCGGGGCCGGTGCGGGCCCGCAGGATGTACACGCTGACGCGCGGGCCCAGCAAGCTCGCCACGCAGCGCCGCACAGGTACCGGGGGGCGCGGGGCCCGGGGGCCGCGGGGGGCTCCGTCCCGCCCCGCGTTGCCCCCTGACGCCCCGCGCCCCCCGCAGGTCCCACGCAGCAGGCGGTGGAGAGCAGCAAGCTGGGCGAGCTGCGGGGGCGGCCGCAGCCCGGAGCGTGGCCCCCCGCCAGGTGAGCGCCGTGACCTTGGGAAGGGGACCGGCCCCGGGGCGGCCGGGCCGTGACCTTGGGGAGGGGAGCGGGGCTGCCGGGCCGCCCGGGGGGCCGCGGGAGGGGGGTCCCGGTGCCGCCGCCCGGTGCCGCTCGGCGCGGGGGTCGCAGCCGTCCCGGTGCCCGCCCGGTCCCGCGCAGCGAGAACACGGGTGGCGTGGGCCGCCCCCGTGGGGGGAACGCCGGGGCTGGCGCCGCTCCTCCTTCCCGGGGATTGTCCCCAAAAACCGCGGGGAGTGGGAGCCGTGGGGTCACGCCAAGGAGGCGGCGCGGGGGGTTCCCGGCGCAGGGCAGAGCCGGGCCGGGCTGGGCTTGTCCGACCCCCCCGCGCCGGCCCCGGGCACGGCCCCGATTGCACAAACCGGCGGCGGGGCAAGTGCCGGCCCCGCTGTGGGACCGCCCGCCCCGGGCCGCGGCTCCCGCCACGCCACGCACCCACGCGGGACTGGCCGTGCCCCTTGCCCCTAAGGTGTGTCTGGGGGGACGCTTTGGGGTGACTCCCAGCGTCCCCCAGCGGTACCTGGAGCTGCCGGGTGTGTGCCGGAGGGGATTCCAGCGCCTGCCGGGTGATGATGGGTCTATCCCTAAGGAGACCCTTTCCTGGCTTGATGCCTGGGGGCAAAGCCCACCCAGGCAGGGCTGTGGGACCCCTCCAGCTCTGCCCATCCCTTCCAGCTTCAAGAAATACATAAAAGCCCCTCCTGTCCAGCTCCCCTCCTTCCCAGGATCCCTTCCGGTGATCACTGGAGGGGCTGCTGCCACACTCACTCTCCTGCTGCCTGCAAGCACCCCTGGCTGTGGAGGTCTGGGGGTCACTGCCCTCCCCAGCCCCTGCCCACAGGTCCACGGGGGCTGCCTGCTCCCAGTCTCTCCTGTCCTCCAAACCCACTCCTGAGGCCCCTTAGACTTTGTCCCATGAGGAATGTGGCAGTTGCAGACAAGTCCTGTCCCAGAGCTGGGCGGAAAAGCCAAAATACTGGAGTTTTACATTGAATGTGCCCTCAAAATCTCATCCCAAGTTTTTCCTTTGGCTCTGTCTGGTGTTGCTGCTTCCAGGCTGGGGCTGGTTTAAGTGCCACCCTCCCAAGGGGGATTCTAGCTCTGAGGAAGGCTGACCTGCTCCTCATTGGCAGAGAGTTATGTCTCAGTTCTGGGGCACCTTGGGCTCATGCTGGGGTCAGGGCTGCTCCGGTGATCCCAGGTGCTCGGTCTGCAGAGGATGGCACATCCCCTGCCTTGTGCCCAAGTGGATTTCATTTCCATTTTCCTGATATTCCTGCAGTTTTGGTGGCAGATTCTTTATTTTAGGGACTGCACTTGGTGCTGGGCTGGAGGACAGATGGGAGACATGCTTTTCCCTAGGGAGCTCCCCTTTCACCCCTCCCTGTGTCAGAACCCCCTCTCCCTTTCCCTTTCTGTCCCCTCCCTTGGGGACAGGGCTGGGTGGCTGCAGCTGTGCCCCTGGCCTTGCTGGGGCTGTGGGTGAGTGTGCACAAAGTGGGGTGACCCAGGGCACCCAGTCCTTGCTTCAAACTGGGGTGGGAAGAGCTGCTGGCCCCCCTCACCCCTCCTTGCTTGTCTCCACAGCCCAGCCCAGAAACTTGTGTTCAACAGAGTGAATGGCAAGAGGCCACAGGTGCTGCTGCATCAGGTCTCAGCTCCTGAGGAGTGCTACACCCTGGCCCATGAGGAGAACGTCCGCTTCATCTATGAAGGTGAGGGCAGAGGGTCCCTGGGCAGCACTGGGGGGGCTGGAGCGTGTGGGGTCCCTTCTGAGGCAGCTGCATTGTGCTGGTTACATCGGCAGTGCAGGGATGGAGTTGCCAGCCTGGGGACCTGCCCTCTCTTGTTCCCCTCCCGCAGCCCCCCAGGCTGGGAAACCCCCATCCCAACCTCACGCCCTGCCTGTTCCCCCCAGCCTGGCAGCAGGTAGAGCAGCAGCTGGACGGCAGCCGGAGCGGGGACAGCGCCTGCGGCCCTGTGCAGTACGTGGAGAAAACCCCCAACCCTGGGCTCAAAAGTGAGTGGGAACTGGTTGGGGCACTTCGGGGTACGCTGGGCTCAGGGGTGCAACAAGCTGGTGTGGGCTCAACCTGCACCTGAGCAGGGCTGTGGTGGGAGGAGGAGGATGATTAAGGTGCTTGGAGAGCTGGTTGGGTCTGTCCTGCTGGTGCTGAGGCCACTCTGGGGGTCCTGGGCAGGGACAGCTGGCCTTGGCACTGTGGTGGGGATGTCCCACTGTGCCCCTTGGAGGACCCCATGAAGCAGGACTCCTGGTTGACGACTTCTCTGGGATTCAGGCCTTCTCCAGCCACCAAGGTGGGCTCAGCACCATGCTGGAGAGGAGCTCCCCAGTCCTCGTGGGGACTTGCTTCTCCTGGGGCCAGCAGGACCAAGTGGGGATGGGGACAACACTTCTCTGGTGGCAGCTGGAGTCAGGGCTGTGACTGCAGCCTGGGGGGTCCTGCAGTGCCCAAGAGCTCCCCAAGAAGAGAGTGTCTCTGTAAACCCAGCCTGGCCTTCTGAGGACATGACACAGGGGTGGGG